GTTTATGAGAGAGCATGGAGTTTCTCCCAAAAAATATAACCTGCTTTATAGCACAAATTCCAACTAGGCTGGATTATCCTCCCCCCTTTCACCCACTGAGGATGACAAAGATTAAATGGTTCTTCCTGTTAATGCACAGAAATACAGAAAAGGGAAGATTCCCTGTGATGCGCCCATTATTTTCCATGTTACCTACAAACAGAATCGGTGTGATGAGGTTCACCAATTCCTACTTTTTCAGTCCAGAATAAATAATTCTATCTTCTACTCTGACCATCTCTTTAAAACAAATCTTACTTTTTGAGACACTGGACAGTCAAAGACAATACTAACATAGTATCATAAGTGTGACTCCTCCAAGCAGCAGTCACTGCACACTACCTTGAGCAACCACTTGAATGTTACTAGTTGTTATTTTCATGTCTTGCGTTCTTTAGACTCATGGATATGTTGCTTCAAACCTTAACAATTTCTGCAGGGTACTGCAAACAACCTTGGAGGATCTTAGCATCAGGACAGATTATTTTTTTGATCTGCCTTTCTCTTGACCAAAGGACTAAATGCTAAGTCACAAAGTTGAACTTGTTTTGTACATTCAGCATCTTCTGCAGGAATGTGGCTTTCAGAAGCAAACAGATCTATGAAAATTGAATAAATGCTACTATTCTGGGAAGCTCTCCATCTTTGTATAATATTTCATAGTTTACAAATTCATTTCTGTGGAACTCAAAAATACTTTATGCCAAGTCAGTAACAGTCCTTTCTATTTTCTCATCCTCAGTATTATGTTTATCCTGCGTGTGATACTTTACTGAACTATATGCTGCTTAATTTGAATACTTATGCTGTAAATACTTCTGTAAGTTTATATTTGTATTTATCTAGGTAGGTAAAGATCTTGTGAGCAACCCTCAGTCCATATTGGTTTGTATTTTCTTTCCAGAGCCTGTGCCAGCCCACAGAGACTGGCAGAATGACATGGACAGCAGCCCACAGGAACATCACTCCCTGGGGACCAGTCGACTGCTGTATCACATTACAGATGGAGACAACCCTCTTTTGTCACCACGCTGCTCTATCTTTAGCCAAAGCCAGAGATTTAATCTAGACACAGAGTCTGCACCTTCTCCACCAAGTGCTCAACCTTTCATGATGTAAGGAAATATGTTTCACTATATATTTTAAATAACTTTTGTATAGTTCACGATCTTTGATTCTTCGTTTTTTCAGTTATGGTTATGTCATAAACAATGAATGTTAATATTGTAGCATGTTTTGACTTGGTTAATTTGCCAGAATTAGGACCTAGCATTGTTCAGTCATAACAGTTCAACATTGTTTGAAGTTGTTGTTAATTCAAGTTAGCAAGGGTGGTTTTAATTGTTAGTAATTGGTCTGATGAGTGAACATAACATAGAGAAGACTACTGAGGTATAATACCAAAAGAAATCAGCTGTAATAGAGCTAAATCTTGAATTTTTCCTATATATGAGTGTCATAGAACATACAAACAGTCCACACATATGATCTCCAGGAACTAAGTTGTGAATTTCAGACAGAAACCAAACTTTCTTAAAAATGCTAGGAAAGCATTAAATGTGCCTGAAAGAAGGCACAGTTGATTTATAGCCAGTTCTTTGATTTGACTACTATGCTTTTGGCTTTTGCAGGCCAAGGAGTTCTTCTAGATGTAACTGTGAAGAGTGCAAAGAACCTCAAACAGTAGCACAACTTACCAAGCATCTTCAGAGTCTCAAGAAAAAGATTAGGAAGTATGAAGAAAAGTTTGAGCAAGAAAAAAAATATCTGGTAAGCTGATAATTGAAAAGATAAAGGGAAATACTGCCAGAGGCAAGCAAGAATCCCAGTGGATATAAATGTATGTGAAATAATAGGAAAAAGGGTATTTTTGATAAAATTAAATAAGAAGATCATGAATGAGGGAATATCTGTAATAGGAAAAAGGGTATTTTTGATAAATAAGAAGATCATGAATGAGGGAATATCTTTCTGACATGTTTTAGTGTATGCAGTAGTTCTGAGGCTCTAATTTGCATTTCCTTTGGATTATCTTTGTTGCAGAATACCCATCTTGTAGATGTGTGAGAAGTGAGAACCAGGGAAACAACTGACAGGCTTGTGAACCAAAATGGTTCAAAAGATTAAAAGCTACTTATTTATTTGGTAAAATCATTTGCTTGGAAATATTGCTCTGTTGTGCAGATTCCTACATTCAGGCAGACTCCTGTAAATCTCCAAAGCATTAGGGCTCAATAGAAACTGGTGGCAGAAACAGAGACCTACAAATGGTGGTGGTTGGTTGAGGGGAGTGGTGTGTTCTGTGCAGTGTGTGCACAGTGAGCTAGTTTGTGTAATGTGCGTGGTGCAATACGAACATGCTGAGACATCTGTGGTGCTTAGGATGTGTAGACTGTGAAACAGGGAAGACTGTGAGACTTTATGACTACATTAAAATGAAAATTCAGCTAATTATGTATTACCTTGTAATCCTGGCAATGACTGCAAACTTAAATGTCCGTTTGTGAATTGTACTGCTCTTTGGTCATCAACAGTCATCACATTGTGACCAGAAAATAACTTATTTCAGAAGTTTAATTTTTCAGAACTGTTTTGCCATTTCAAGTATGAGTTTTGAAGATCCACTGTAAATGTATTTTATGAAGCAATTTTGAAATGCAAAGAAAGAACTGATATACAAAGCTTTTGTAGTTTTTTGCTTTTGAAATCAATCTGTTGAGTGGGATTTTGTCATTTGATTAGTTAAGCAGTTCAGCTGAAACATTTAAATTTCTGTTTCCCAAGAAGATCCCTGTCTTAAAACACTAAGGACTTATCCCAGCAAGGGCCAGAGTGCCTCCATTACCATCCTGGAAATCACTTAGGAACTTGACTAACATTAGGTATCTGATCAGACCTTTTGAAGTCACTGAGATTACTTATCCAATTAGTCAAGGATGTAGATGGGTTCTTTTGCCAAAATATTCAGGTCCATATAGCACTGTGCCACAGGGGGGAAAGATAAGACATGGTAAGTAAGTACCCTCATCAAGCCAAATGCTCTGCTTGGCACTCTGACATAGTGCAGTTGGAACTATGGATGTTTTTTAGCACATTGCGTGTGGATAGGTTTATATCTGTTTGATTGTATAACCATCAGTTCCTCCTTTTTTATTCTCTGTTTCCTTTCCCTTTCAGCCGTCACATGGTGACAAGACTTCCAATCCTGAAGTTCTGAAATGGATGAATGATTTGGCGAAAGGTCATAAGCAGCTCAAAGGTATGTAATAGGATGTAACTTCATTTTATTGCTGAAGCTTTTGGAGTGTACCTGAAATATTGTAGTTAGTTTTTTAGCCTCAGTGCTCTGTTTATTTTTCACTAGTGCATGGTGATAAATCTCCCAGAGACAACAAAGATATTAGGTGATGTAACTAAAAGCAGGGATTAAAGTAAGGCAGTTCAACACTCATAACAAGGCTAAAAAGAAGAAGGGGAAAAAGACATCATCTCTGCCTCATCACCATAAACATTCATGCAAAAGGCAATGTTCTTCTGAATATATTTATGAGAGCCTGAAATACAGAAGCACAAAACTAAAAGGGTCTTTGGAATAGTACAAATGTAGGTGCAAAATGTTTCATTAGGACTGAGGTTACACACCTCTAAAACTCTATGTATGTATTTATTTATTTCTATCAGAAAACTGGATCTTTCCCTGATATTAGATTTGGTCCAGAGGGTCAAGTTTTGCCCTTGACTGTGTGCATACCACTCCATTAACGTCTGTGGGTCTGTCACATGCTTGCCTTGGGGGAGAATGGAGCCAGGACTGATTGATTTTTATTTTTTTTTAAAGCTATTTATAATTTAAATAATTCCCCCCCCCCCATTATACATGGATTATCACTACTAATTAATTGTAGTATTATGTTTCTTCTCTGTTTTGGATATAGTTAAGAATGTAGATATTGAGTGTATGATTGTGGTAAATAAAAAATTAGAAACTCATATTTCAGTAAACTTCTTCTGGAAAGTTCTCCTTTAGATATTAGGCTGCATAATTGTTAGATTTTTTTTTTTCCCCTTGAAAGTTGTGTTAGAAATCCAGGAAGGGAAAATGAGAGGAAATGGCCAAACGACATAAACTTTCTGAAACTTATCTTTCTGACTCATGCATTGCTTCAGCCTGACCTGCACACCTAAAATACCTCAATGCTGTGAACACTTTTGATTTTATTATCCTGAAAAATAAGTCTGCTTTTAAGCAAAGCAAGATTTATGAGGTTCATGGGATAGGTGCAACTGAAATAGAAAAACACTCAAGTGCTTGTAGGTCCTTCAACTTTGTAAGGCTTGTCCATCCTTCCTAGCTCTACAAGTTTAAAAAAAAAATAATAAAAAAAATAATAAAAAAACTCGACTATTTATCTTACAAACCTGGTCAGACTGTTGCCACTGAAAAAACTGTTAGTATTTCTGCAAGGATTTAAATAAATGTAACACATTTGGATCCACCAGTTTCTAACTTGCTCAAGATCCTTCACCAGCTAGTTATATGCTAGGAGCAAAGGTTGGTTTTGCAGGGGATAATTCAGATCTTTATTCAATTTCCCTGTTGCTCTGTGCAGGTTCCTAGAGCTCCAGGGTCTTTGGCTTGGTGTCAGGCTGATACACGTTACTGCATCAGGGCAGGTTGCTGAGGTTGCTGACTGGAAAGCTAGGACAAACTGTAACCTATAAGTCTTCTGCAGGGTTGCTATGGTGCTCTTCTGCCTTGGGAAATAATTTAAGCAAAGGGGCTTACTTAGCTACACAACTGTGGTATGATAAGAATTGTATGCAAGAAGTAGGGCTGTTTTTTTTTCTTGTAGTGTCAGAGGAAACTTCTTTGCAAACATTTCCAATAAATTTACTTGTCAAGTAATTTGCCTTTCAGAGCTGAAACTCAAAATGTCAGAAGAACAAAACTGTACCTCAAGAGCACCCCAAAGAAATGGTCATTGTGAAAGCACTGGGACCTCTAATGAGGCTGAGACACAGGAGGCCACAAGCATGGAACCATCCTCAGTAGAAGAAACCATGGACAGCGTTTTGAGAAGATTAAAGGAGAAAAGACAACACTTTAACCTTCCTGAAGCTGTCAAGGTATGTGATAAGTATGGCTGTTTCTTTCAAAACTTTATCATCTGAGGCAGATATTAATTAGTGTGTCAGGGTAAGCTGGGGAATGTGCACCCTGTGTCTTCTGGTACTGCCGTGCATCACTTTGCCTGGTGTCAAATTATGTTCCTACTCCTGATGCTGTACAGCCAAGTGAGACCATAAATTCTGTCCTCAAAGGTACGTAAAATCCAAATGTTGACATTTAGACTCTGGCTAATGAACAAAAAAGAGGAGGGCACGAGGGGGACAAGGAGGGGTGAAGAAGAACTAAATGCTAAACTACGCAAGAACTAAGAAATTATTATGGGTGGGTTTCAGTAGCAGAAAGTACCTGGCAGATATTATTTTTAATTTTTTTTGTCTCTTTTCTTGGTTCTTAAACAACTAACTACTGTATAAATCCCAAAACTGTTCATAACAATGCTGTACTTCTGAGATCTCGAGCTCTGCATACATGACTGACTTGTTAATTGTTTCTTTTTATAAACTACTTTTAAAAAAATCTCAAATGGAAAAAGTGTTTTATAACCAGAACTCCTTTGCACAAAAACAAAATATGACAACAAAACCATGCTGTTCTGTATATAGTTCTAAAATCCCAACAGTGCAGACAGTATAAAAATGTTTTCAGTTGGTTTTTGGTTTTTTTTATTATGCAAGTGAAATCAGAATACACCAAAACAGATGTCAGTGAGGAAATCCTGTCCAGAAATACTCTCTTATAGGAGTAAGTTGAGTGTGAGTTTCAGTTTTAACCACTTGTCAATTAAGGGACTTCTGATTTTCCAAAAACAAATGTCCTAAATATGTGAAATGGCAGTGCTGGCTTGAAATATTCTGACAGAGAATTGTGCAATGTAAATGAAATGTTTGCACAAGTTAATATTTTCAAATATTTTTTAAAAGCCTTATTTTCTTTTTGTATTCTTGTAGCAAGAAAGAACTTGTGTTGAGAGAACTATCCATTTGCTAGCAAAGGTAGTTTGGTAACAGTTATATGAAGCTGCTATGGAACAGAGGCATGAGAAAGAATCAAATGAAGTAAAATTGATCTACTTTAAAATTTTATTTTTTAGTAGATCCTCAAGTGTAACATTAAAAAAGATTGGGTTTTGAGTATGAGTCATCCTGGACTTTTGGGGGAGAATGAGATTTCTAGCACTGATGAATTTATGTGCAACATTTTATTTTTTAGATAACGTTTAGGACCTGTACCAGAATTTGAGCTAGATTACTAGTACACTAGTAGCAGCTAGAAGTTTCTTTTTCTAAAGATTTAGTTATTTCAAGCAAGGATAGTGTTTCCATAAAAGCCTTCAGATTTCTCACCTGAAGTTCAAATGCAGAAAGCCTCTAAGGCCCTGCTGAAATGAAAACGAGAGACTGAGCATCTCTGGGAGAGGCGTAGAGTATAATCCTTGAACACCCTGTATGTCCAAAAAGGACAAACCACAAGGTCTGATTATGAAACGGCAGAATGTGGTTTATAGAACAAAACACCACTCCTGCAAAAAAGCTTGTGAGTAAAGCTACTGAGTGAGAAGACACAGGGAAAACTGGGATTATCCTGTGAATGATTCAGTAACCCAAAATGGATGGCTGCCTGTTACTACTTGTGTCACTAGTTCCTTGTGCTGGAAGCTGGTGATTTATGCACCAGTTCACCTCATTTTAGGTACAAGTCTTCAAAAAAAAAGGATTGAGACCATGAATGTAAGAGTCCAGGAGCCAAAGGACAGACAGACAGACATAATTTGAATCATATTACTAAAAAAAAAAGCACCAAATCACAAAATCCACATCCAAATTCCAACTCCTGACTTTTAATGCAGTTGGAATGTGTCTGGAAAAACACCAGTGAGCTTAAAAGGCATAAGCATTCACGGAAGAAACTAGTAGGGAAGAAAACTGCATGCAGTAGTTTGTGTGGCTTTGTCTCAAGTTACGTAAACCGAACTACTACCTTAGCTTTACATGCAGTCCCCTTTTTCTTTCTTCATATGCAACAAACAACTTTTGCCTTATATTTAGTGTTTAAGATTTGCAGTCTGTCCCCCAAGGCTTTTCTCAGACTTTGCTGTGAGGTATCTGCCTCTCATTGATCTGCTTCAGTTCATCTTTTTCTTGGCCATCAAGCAGTGTTTTTATTTAATTAGCATTGAATTTCATGTTGCTGTATGCAGCCAACAGTCCTAAGATATCTCAGACAATTCTGTAGTTTGTGATTCCACAAAAATTCTCTGATTTTGAAATTACCAGCCATTTTGAACTTAGCTCAATACAAAACAGTTTTGAGATGCCTAATAAAATGAGCTAATGAAATAGGCCCAAATGCTAAACCCTCCTGAGACTGTTTCTCATGTTTAAAATCAATATTAATGATCACTCCCTGTTTCCTCCTAACTATTCCAGGCTTAATAGTTTTGGAAATAATTAGCCTTGTATTAATTGCAGAACTAGCAATAAGTAAACCAATTAGCTACTTTACAGTACTCCTACATTCTTGTTAGCAGCTCTTCTCCAAACATGAACGACAAAATTCTGGAGTGATTAACTCATGCAGACCTTTAAGGTGAAAAGTGATTAATGGTTATGCACTGTTTTTGCATTTGGGCAGCAAATCAAAAAGGTTTTGTTACTGCTGAAGTTAATAGCAAGGAACTCCATTGATATTAAGAGAATTACTTCTTCAGGGCATGATATATTTTTAAAAAGTAGAGGCTGATTATTAAAAATACTCCCAAGTTGTCAACAAAAAACCCTAGTCATTGACTTTTTGTAGAAAGGCTTACCCCATCCTCCCAAAATGCCATCATTTTTCCCATTACTTCACTGGGGTAGACAAGCTCTTCTCCAAACCTCCAAAAACTTGGCCCTTATACAGATCTCATTAACTGATTTCTTCCTAATATGGATGAGAAAAGTACTTATTTAGGTTTTTCAACTATTCATAAATATTACCTAAACACTGGAAAATGTTCTAGGAAGCGCTGCACTGATACCTGTGGGACCTCAATGCCAACACTTTCTACTCAGGTGCTGCAGTCATCTTTTTTGAGCCTGACATTGCAGCACTCAACCCATGAGAAACACCCCATGTCCATGCAATTTGGCTCTGATGTTTAAGCAAAAAATTCTGTTTGTTTAGACTTTCTGTCAATTGGTATTCCCAGATAAATGTTGTACATTTGGAAACTTTCCAGATAAGGATGCAGTGTTCTGTCAGTAGCCTAATAACCACTTCCTGACTTTAAGCTTGTTAAACTGCTTTCATGGAATAGTAATTTTGAAATAAGGCAATCAAGTATTAGATCTTTATATACTGACATTAGAAAAAATAAGTTTCCAGCCTTTCAGTACATTTTAATTCATGCATCTTTCTCCAGAAGAAGGAGCACAAGTTCTGGCCACTTTGGCCAAAGTGTATTTTCCACTGGGTGAAGGTGTGACCCAACACCCACTCTAATCAGCAGAAGTATCTCCCAGCTCATATCAGCTTTGCATTAGGCCTTGCGAGGGTGACTTGTACTTCGATTAATTTAAAACTTAATGTATATTTGGACTGTGTTCTTGCTAAGTCAATGCCAAGTCCCCATTGACCTCAGTGGGGACAGAAACAGACTTAATATTCTCTGGGGAGAATAGATTATTAAACATATCTACTTGTACCCTTATCATAAAAACCTGACTCATAATCTTATAAATAACTTTTAAAAATAGGATATGACAAAAAAGCAAATGGCTTCAGAAAAAATTAGTCTTCAGAAATGTCTACTGTAGTTTGAGAGTATCCATTGGACAACCTGTAAGCATACCATGGAAAGACAGGTAAATAAAAAATTATCTAAGTTCTCTAACAAATACTTTTTGTTAGAGAAAGAAACACACTCCTGATAACTGGGAATTGGTTTCCGAGCAGCTCTGGACTGTTGTCCCTGCTGCCAGCCAGCCTGAGTCTCTTCAAACCTGCCATGTGCTCACTCACCTGGGTGAGTGTAGCTGAGCTTCAGTGCACTAGTGCAGCTGAAGTGTCAACTGACCAAGAAATTGTACCCTGTGGGTGCTGATATGCATGTAAGTTGAGGAGCAGAGTCTGATGGTGGAGTAGTTTACAAATGACCCTATTTTGATATTTAATTACTGAGGAACAAGTCCTTCTGGTCTTCTTTGTGGTGTTTGTTTATTTTTTTTGTTGTGGGATTTGCTTTCTTTCCCTTTATACACTACCACACAGTTTTCAGAAGGTTTACTTTTATATTTACAAATACTTGTGGCTGGCTCAGACTCTCAATACCTGATCTAAAATCATATTCTCCTCCGAATCAATGGTCCCCATGCAGATACACGACCAGACTAACTGAAGGGATGGCAAACCCTGGCTGTGGAAGGCAGTTCCAGCAGTTGTGACTGGAGCCAGCTCATCCACTGAGGTTGGTCTCAGCTGTATTTTCAGTGGGCCTCATCCCACTGGGATGCTGAGTAGGTTGGCCTGGGCAGACCACCCCATTACACTAGGAGCCTGTTGCCTCTATTACAGTTAGTAATTGAGATATCAGTGCAATGCACAGTAGAACCTTTTTAATTCTTATAACTCTGTACGCATCTTCAGAAGGAGGCAGCACAATTTGGCTCAAGAAAGTGAGGGTTACACATCATTGGGTATTTTCCATTAGAAAATAGATTGCCATTTTCCTTTTTAGAAATTCTATGGATTGAACTACAGTTCCCATGGCATATCTGTGGAAGCAAATTACACATCAGATCCTACTCTTCTAATACATTTCTCAGCTTCACAGGAGCAAATAAGAACTTTAATTTTTATTTTCAATTTTTGAGGAGTATATTTTGTTATGATTTCTCTTTAGGTAACTAAGCAAGAAAAGAGTCTCATGAAACCTCTTTACGACAGATACAGAATTATCAAGAAACTTCTCGCAACTCCATCTTTGATCACAACAATTGTAAGTTGGAAAGAATTAATATCCATTGTCAAGAAAAGAAGCTAAATGCTGTGTTTGATTTGTACCCATATGTCAGTTTGGCAGCAATAGAGCTATTGATATTTGAAAAATGTGCTCAGTGCTTAATACAGGGTGTTGATATTTCAAATAGAAGTTGCATTTTACAGAGCAGTTGCTCTAAGTCTAATGCCAGAGATCGTAACATTGAGCAGCAGTTTCTGAGGCAACCACTTCAAGTGACAGGGTAAGAGATCAAAGGCTGCATCGATTTTTTCTTAAGGATAATCTAGGCGACAGAGAGTGAAACCTCTCTCTTCCCATAAAGTGCTGTCACTGTATCTGGATGTTGTAGGCAATGCTTTTATCAATTGTGTAGTATATAAATATAATTTGTAGTACTTCAATTAATAATGTATTGATGTCATCTAACAGGTCTCACTGTGAGTAGAGGTGAAATAGGACTATTTGGAAGTTAATTGGCATATCTGTATCAAAAATACTAATCTAATAGTACTTGGGACTGAGCTGATTTTTAAAATTAAGAACTACTGCCATGTGAGATGACAATGGAGCTTTGTATTTCTTTGTAAAATTCCAGTGTAAATATTTGTACACATTCACATGGATATATTATTCATTTTTTAACTGAAGTTCTCTTGTGGTACTTATGAGCTTTGCTCCATGGAGTTTTTCTATTCAAGATTTAGTTTCAAAAGCTCAGCTTTTCTTCTGAGGATGAAGGAATGTGAGAAAGACAGCAACATCACTGTTTTGGTAGCTATAAAACTGTGGAATCTCTACCTCCAACTCTTGTTACAGTCAGAATTTCTGGTCTTATTACAACTAGTAGATGGTATACAAGAGGAGTGCAACTTCCAGCAAGACTGCAGAGCTTCCATAAATATAGTGTTCTTTAAATTTTTGCTCCTTATAAAGGCTTTTAAATAAACAAAAATAAATTGCTGGAGATACCCAAAAGCAGGGCCAGCTTCTGTCCTGTTTAGTCATGGTGGACAAGACACAGTAACTCAGTGAGCCCCATAAGACTTTTCATTAACAATGTCAGGTAGACTTGGGCAAAGCTTTCAATATACGCAAACTATTTCAGTGATTACATCCAGGAATCTAAGTCCTTATTCTTTATGTTGTAATTCTATTAATTGTCAGTATGGTCATGCAAACAACTTGGAATGATGTTTTTACATTTTACAAGCAGGAGGAGGAAGACTCAGATGAAGACCATTCTCAAAACAGCCATGAGTTGTCATCTGGCCCAGTATCTTGCCTCCCTGTTGATGAGCACCTGTGTTACCCTCAGGAGGAGAGTGAGCCTGCCTATGTGTCACTTCTGGATGAAAAGAAAGGTTTCAGGCAAACAGCCTTGTCTATGTCCAATTTACATGAGGCAACAATGTAAGTTCAGTCTTTTTTTTCTTTCCCCTGAACATTTTAGAATATTTTACGTAGCCTTAAAATGAAATATGATCCACACTTATTGCATGGTAATATTCTATACGAAAGCAGTGATTCAGTGTTTTCTTATGGGAGAAAAGAGAGAGAGGCAGTTGGTCATTTGAGCAGTATCCCTGTAGCTTGAGCTATTGATTCAAGCAACTTTGTGCCAAGTCCATGAAGAAAAAGCGAAGGAATATATGCAGATCAGAGAAACAACTAGATACTACATATTGATATAATAAAGATATGCTGGCCTACCTATAAATATTCAACAATTTTAGATATCTCACTACTTATCTTCTTAAAATGCATAAAGGAAGTTGATGAGGTGCTACCAAAATTAAGAGTAAAGAGAAATATCTTGGTTTTCTATGTATCTCCACTGTGTATGCAATAGTTTCTCAAAAATGCTGAGGTTAGGCCTGTGAATTTTGTTATTATGGAAAAAAAAAAAAAGACAATCCAGCTGCATATGGATAACAGAATTCTTTCTCTTTTTAAAAAAAAAATAAAATTATCCAAATACCCACTAAAAGATGCTTCCAAAAATGCTGATTCTGGGTAGCATTTCCACTGCATCACAGTAATGCTTGGTAACAGCTGTTTTTAGGATTAGGGCTTGGATGGTGACTATTAATTCAGTTACAGAGATGCAAAACATCTCCTGCGAGATGCTGAGCCCTGTCAACTGCAATTAATTCCATACAAAATTAAGGCCACTAGCAAGACACAATTCTGAAAGCCTTCCCTCCCATGTTCACCACAGAGCCTCTGCCTTCACTTGATTAGACATAACAGAATTCTTTCTCTTTTTAAAAAAAAAATAAAATTATCCAAATACCCACTAAAAGATGCTTCCAAAAATGCTGATTCTGGGTAGCATTTCCACTGCATCACAGTAATGCTTGGTAACAGCTGTTTTTAGGATTAGGGCTTGGATGGTGACTATTAATTCAGTTACAGAGATGCAAAACATCTCCTGCGAGATGCTGAGCCCTGTCAACTGCAATTAATTCCATACAAAATTAAGGCCACTAGCAAGACACAATTCTGAAAGCCTTCCCTCCCATGTTCACCACAGAGCCTCTGCCTTCACTTGATTAGAAGAATGTGGATACTAGTAAACAGGAAGGAGCACAACTGTTTATTTGTGTGATGGTGCAGCCAGTTATATCCATAGCTGGGAGCCATGTGGTGGAATGTTTCAGGGCCCTGAGCTCAGGGCCTGCCATAACCCACAGCAGCAGCCTGCTTATTTGCCCAAAGGCACAGCTCTTACAATACTTACAAGCGCATAATCATGTTCTTGTCTGTTTTACAGGCCTGTCCTGCTTGAACATCTCAGAGAGACAAAAGCAGATAAGAAAAGGCTTCGTAAAGCTTTGAGAGAGTTTGAGGAACAATTCTACAAGCAGACAGGAAGGTAAGCAACCAGCTCAACACAAGCTCTCTCCTCCCCTTTGGGCTCCTGTGCACAAGTGTGTGTTTCTGCTGGGGAGGCTACTCTTAGGTGAGCAGGCCAGAGAAGCTGGAAGATATCATGAGGTGTCTGGTCTCTATGAAGATGTCCTTCTCCCTACTTAGTTCCTTCAGGATGTGGACATCCCTGAGGACATGCCTGTAAGAGGTATGAACCCCATCTCAGCTCAGGATGTTTCCTGGGTTGAAGGGAAGCTGTCTGTTATTGAGGACGTAAATCTGCAGGGATTACAGCTTGCAGATGATTAATTTTTGAAAGGCCATACTTAAACCAGAAGCCATTGGTTACACCCTCTCCAGAGCAGAAACACACACATCTTCTTTTCCTCCTCCCTTAATTTAGAAAACTTTTGGTGAAAACTATGGAAGATATGGGTTTTTAGTATTCTGGTAACAATTTTCAAAGCACTGCATAATATCTTCTCTGCATATTTTAGAATGAAAAAATTAGCTGCATAGCTAACATGAAAAAAAATAACCTGTTATATGAAAATTAAATATTTTCAATACTATCCTTTAATTTCTGTCTGTTTAGGGCTTTTGGTCCTGTCAAATTCTCTTTAGTCACCTATGGTTAAGGGGGGGGGAAAGTAATCCTACGCAGTCCTTGTTAGTTGTTGCAGAATTAATTTTAAAGTCTATTTTTCTTCTTACTCTTAAAAGTAAGAGGAGACTCTTAAAATGGCATTTTTATTTGCTTTGATCAGGAGTCCTCAGAAAGAAGATCGGGTGCCGATGGCCGAGGAATACTCTGAATACAAGCACACGAAAGCCAAAATTAGGCTCTTGGAAGTTCTCATCAGTAAGCATGATATTTCCAAAACGATTTGAAGTTAATGCAATGCTGTGGTATTGTTCTCTAGAAAAACAACAAGTAAACACACAAGTAATGAAAGAGAGAAAGTAATTTTACAGGTCTTGGTCTGCTGCACAGTTATTTGACACACTGAGATTTTTGATGCACTTTACCAGTTATGCTAGCTGGGATGAGAGAGGAGAGGAATATGCAAGAATATTACGCATGGGTGAGTGGACTATAGTATATCTATTTTTCCTTTTGAAAAATCCTTGAAGTGCACTGTGAGAAAGTTAGAACTTAAAAAGGACACTGAAGTATTGTAGAGTCTCAGTTTGACCTGCTTTTTAGATTTAAAAAGTGTGAGGAAATGCTTTCCAGGATTTTAGTCCATGGTAATGTACCACCCATTTCTTTCCAGAATTAACATGCACTATGATTAAATATTAATATCAGTTCTCAGTCTGCTTATTCACTAGATTAAAAGACACATGAGAAAACAAATGAAAGAAAAACTCCTGGGCAAATGCTATATTTCAAAACAGAGTTGCCACTCAATTCCAATAGCTTCAAAGAAAGCTGCACAGCAGTGCTAGGATTTGAGCTGAAACTCTGGGAGCAGTGCAAAATGATGCTGCCTATGCAAAAAAGATAAAAAAGAAAGGAGGAACTGGGTGGAGGTTTTTTTTTTTTCTTTCTTTCTTTCTTTGTTTGTTTGACATAGATACAGGTTACCAGGAAGAGCTAAAGTGAATGTCCTGGCTCCTGTCCTTTTCACTATGGTTCACAGGATCTGGCTCACAGTACTTAAAATTCAGTAAATAGATAAAAAATATGCTAATTTTTATTTCTGTATTAAACTTTGCACTTTATTTTGCCTGATGCTAAAACATCTGCTTTTCTAACTACCAAAGCTTGCTTAGACGCATGCACTTTGTAAAACGTTGGAGTATTTCTCGTGTTATAAATTGCCACATATATATATATTAAAACAAGTCTAGATTATTGCATTATGCTATTTTGGATAGATGAAGTAGATGGTATATAATTGAGTGTCACAGTTACCTGATGAAGGTTAGACTTCTTGTTTGCTAAAAATAAGATTATAAAGATTATAAAGAAGATATTTTTCCATTGAAATGATGCATCTTTCTTAACTTTCAGAGCACACACTTTGTAATATTAAGGAGAATTTTTCACTGTTTGTGATATAGACCATTTGTGTGAAAAGTGGACTGTTAACAGGATTATCAGTAGTTTTTGTACTAGAAATGAAAAGCAGGGATTCTGGGAGTCTTAGCCCTGACATAAAGAGAGAAAGAATTAAAAAAAAAAAAAAAAAAGGGACTTGAATAAAATGAATCATGTTTAATGGCTTGCTTTAACTGTCATTTTGTATTGGCCACATAGAATAAGCAACCTGTTTTCTATCTTGGCAAGTAAATCTTCATTTTATAAAGTCTATTATGTACCACCCATATTTGTATTTATATTGTCTGTAGTGGCCCAGTATGATGTGGAAGACGTACACATTTCCAAGTACTTTGGAGGAAAAAGTATGAAGTATGGACACTAAAAAAGGATTTTTTTATTTCTCAGAGGTTTGTTGTTTCAGTGTAGTGACTTGAGAATTTATAACAACTTTTATGAATCAGAAATGGTCTCCTTCATAAATTTGTTTTAATTAAATCTAGAGCAACAGGAACAGATACAGAGCTATTTGAAGTTTACAAACTACATCTTTGATAAGGGAAAATGATTTCATGATGTATGTATACAATTGATATTAAAATGTAATCTATATATTCTATATGATTGTATAATATTTTATACAACGGTACAAATAAAATATTTTTCTATTATATTTATTATGTCGAGACACAGTTTCTGTTTTCAGTTAGCTAATATAAATAACATAAATAACACTGTCAAACAACACGTTGGAAGTGCTGACATTTCTAGGCTTTGAAATTTAAATCATGCTGCAATTACAACCTTTCATGCTGTTTGGAGTTATCCCAGTATTTGTTCAGTAGTTAAAATTAATGCATATTTAAAACACCATTTCTAAGCCATTATTTTTGTTTTGCTAAAGCAGTTTATATAGGATTTTGTTATGTTTGGCAAGAAAATGAAGACAATTTTTGCAGCATCTAGGTATAAATGGTTGCCGGAAAGAAATTCAGGACTCCTAATCATTTAAAGCA